CACTAACTGTCAGAGGCAGCATGCCTCAGAATACCAGTTGAGTGCAGCAACATTTAATGTTCCAAGCATCTCCTGCTTGCAAACTTCCCATTAGGGGCATTGGTTGGCCACTACGAGAACAGGATGCTGGACTAGATGGGCCACTGGACAAAGATCACTGTAAATGTAGCCTACTGGAGTAAGGTGGCTGTAGGTGTAGCCTACTGGACAATGTAGCCTATTGGACAAAGGAAGCTGTAGATTTAGCCTGCTGGATGAATGTAAGAGTCACATCTATTTCTCTGCCCACTTTTGCCAGTGGCCCCACCCACCACTGACATTTGCATGTGGCCTTCAGGTTGAAAAGGACCCCCCAAGCTTTAAAGTCTCGCGAGGACATAGCCCTCCAAATAGCAGTTTGGCTGCTCATTCTTCATTGTCCAAAAGTCCTTGGGAGTTTATGGTTCAGTGCTAAATCTGTATCTTCCTTTTTGATGAGCCTTTTTATGATGGATAGTGTAAATTATTTTAAGGTAACTTTTTTTGTCAGCTTGAACTCCTGACAAAGATAAATTGATGTGATGCCTTTTAAACTGCCCTTATGAATTAACGCTCAACTCCCCTTCCCCTCTCCCAGTTCACGTGGGAGTTTCAAAAGGTTTATAGATGATTATTTTGCCACTTTCCAAGGGTCCCAGTTAGGGATGCAGAGTCACCCGCTTGTTCAGCTCAAAGGCTATTGGATTTTTGCAAGCATTCCCTTTAAATATTCAGAAACGCATTAGAGGGAGTTTTGTGTGTGTGAATATTCAAAATGAATGCCTGCAAAACTCAGTAATTGAAAACCAAGTAATTACAGATATGCGAAGTCACTCACTGTCACACATGCTGCAGGCTGAGAAACAAGAAGGGGATCAGGGGTCATCTCAATAGCTTGGATTGTTCTGCCCTCCATCACAGCAGCTGTGGTAAAAATGGCGCCTCTGAGCACATTTTGGCATGTCACTTCTGGTAGATCATGGGAAATTACCCTTTCTGAAACATCTCTTGCAGGAAGTGGCATTTCTGATCATTTCCCCAATCATCCCCAGTTATTTTTTTTATTGATTTTCCACAATTTTTAACAAATGATGACCAACTTCATACAAATATAAAAGCTGACTTCCCCCGCCCCCGATGTTCCTTTTATTTTCCTCCCTCCTTTGCTGTTCCCAATACATTTCCACCAGTTGCACTTATAAACGTTTTGTTTGTGAAGTGGGCAGGAAGGCGGCAGGAGGAGGTCATTGTCAGTCATTTCCAATATCGGCCCAGTCATTGGGTTTAGCTTGTCTCAAAATGAGCCCTGGATTTTTTTTTTTTAAAGTGGGGGCCTGAATTTTTGAGGGCCCCCCCATTTATAATTACTCACTATATATCTAGCCCCACTACTTTTACTTCTTCACCACAATAATGTCTGTATAAGAGCTCTGATGCATCTCAGTGCTATGCTAATGAGAACTAATGCAGGAATATTTATGCAATCCTTTTGAAACGCCAAGTGTTTGGGGAAGAATGAAGTGCAAGGAATAAGTAGCATGTGGTGGTTAGAGTGCTGGACTAGGATCTAGGAGACTAGAGTTCAAATCCCCACTTGCCCATGAAGCTTACTGGGTGACCTTGGGCATGTCTCTTAGGTTAGCCTATCTCACAGGGTTGTTGCAGAGATTAATATGGGTGTACACCTCCTTAAGCTCCTTGGAGAAGTGGTTTGAGATAGGTGTCATAAAATATAAATAAATACATATTTACATGAAAAGCCAGTGTGTTATATTCAGGAAAAGACAGAAAGGAAAACTACTAAGGGAACCCCTGTCTCACCTGCCACTAAAAGGCTGCATAAGGATATCATAATGTAAGTGGGATCTGCATTTGATTCTTACCCAACTTAATGAGTTAGAGAACTTGTTCAATATACCAGCTTTCACCAGCATTTTCAGAAAGCAGATTCTAGAGTTGCCACTAATTTTCTCCCACAGCAAAACTGGGAGGAACTGTGCTGGGGAGTAACGTCCAAAGAATCTAAGGAGAACAAATAGGGTTTCAATAAGGCTAGTGGAATTTCATGGGGAGGTGATGCGGGGATACCTACATCGCTGCTTGCACATAATATTCTTGTCAATCCTCTACTGGGTAGGGGCAAGAATTCTGCAATATTGGAATTCTTGCTGGGAATCTGTGTTTCTTGAAGGTACTCTCCATACAGTAGGTAAAGTTGGCAAGTCCTGGAACAAGCTGCGCAGAAATCAATTTTTGGTTTGTATCCAATGTCATTCTACTCAGAGGAGACCCATGGAATCTAATGGACATGGTTAATGCAATGTTATTAATGTCAATAGGTCAACTTTGAGCAGAACTTAGTTGGATCGATGTGTCCATTTGAGTCTAATTCAGTGGCTCCCTTTGTGGACAAGCATAGGTATTTTTTGTGCCTTTTAGAGCAAATGTTTTCTATATGTGATGAAAATGTAGTGTAGGGAAATAGAAAAAGTTATTAGATCCCCTATATCAGTAAAAAAATATTTTATTTTATTGCAAAAGGTTAGAGATTCACTTTTTCTTTTCTTTTGCCACACTCTACTGATAAAGAACCTCCAGAAGTGGTTAGCAACCTGAAAAGCAGAATTATAATAAATCCAGTGATAGCATAAAACAATCTTTTAAAAAAGCAATAGCTGCAAAGAAATAAAAATGCACATTAAAACAGTAATAAAATCCTTGGGGTATATTGAAGATGCTCTCAGGTGCCATCAGGAACTAAAAATTAAAAATTAGATAATTAAGCTCAAGAAATATAGAGATAGCAAATCCATAGAAGAACAGAGGAGGTCCCAGTATAAAAGGAAGGATTAAAAAATAATGAGATGCACATTATTTTGGCTATGAGGGATGGCACAAGAGTTCAGCCCCTGCCAGGCTTGGTCCTGATGTCACCCGATTTTGTGATGAACTCAATGCCACAATTGGATCACAACTGGAGGTCGCTGGAGCATCTGTGAATTACACCTTGTGGGATCAGTTTGAGTTGTTACAGCCCAAGGATGTGAATAGGACACTATTGGTGGTGAGGCCAACAATGTGCCCTCTTGATCGCTGCCCAACATGGGCGATAAAATCTAGTAGAAGGGGATTGACTGAGTTGGTGCAGGGAGTGTGCGGTGCCTCATTGTGGGAGGGAGATATGCCCATCACCTTGAAAGAGACTGGGTGTGGCCCTTCTTAAGGAGGGTGTCCCTGGGAATATATTTAACTCTGATTAAATCCTAGAGGGAAACAGGTGGGTGAAAGAAGAAATAGGGTGGATGCATTTGGGGTCCAAAATTTGTGATATGCAGGTGGAGAGATTCATTCCCTTTTTGTGGGGGGAGATTTTATTTTTAAAAAACTAAAACTACTAATAAAGCTGTTAAATAATTGGAGGTTCCTCTTCCGGTCTGGGGCTCAGTCTGAGAAGATTGAAAAGAAGCTAATAAAGTTCTAAAGGGATTCATGAGTTTCAGATTTGATATGTTGTTCTTCAACCCCATCCCTAGAAAATGGTGTCCATTCTCAATATCATGGAAAATAAAATGGTGTTCCAAGATTAAGTGATTTGCTTTGGCTACCCACTGGTCCATAGCCAAGCTATGATGCAACCACAGTGGTAACCCAACTGACCCTTATTTACATGACAGTAAGTAGAGAGGGGAGCATATGTTTAGACAGATAAATCTGGAAAAAAATACATGGACGTTGATGGATGAGTCAGGTTTTGCCAGGTGGGCTGCCTGCGATGATAAATCCCCTTGGCTGTTTGAGGGATCTTTCCGCTATAATGCACCTCATTGTTCTCCCTAATGCAGGGTTCTAAGAATAGGATTAATTAGCTCTCGCCACACCACAGTCAGGAAGGGTTGCGTTCATTTTCATTAGTGTTGACCTGATCTCGTCTCCAAACCCACATTGTTATAATTGTTAACGATGCTCCTGAGAGGTATTACTATTAGCGAGATGGAAAAGGCACCAGGCCAGCTTGTTTATAACCTAAGGTTTGTTAATCTGTCAAGTAGGAGAGAACTATTTGTGTGTGAGCTTTGTTGGCATGTCATGAATCAGTCTCCTTGTCATCGTAACTTAGTGTTTTTTTGAGGAGACCAGCAAAAAATGGAATCGCTGTTCAAAACAATCAACAGTTGAGTTAATAATGGTCCCATGCATTGTGAGAGGTAGTCACATTCACACCATGCATTTAAAGTGGAATGAAAGAACTTTTAACAATCATGGCTTCCATCAAAGGATTCTGAGGGCTTTAGTTTATTTAGGGAGCTGAGAGTTGTTAGTAAACCCCTATCCCCCTTCACAGAGCTATAATTCTCAGAGTTCACCATTAAGAGGGATTGATTGTAGCAAGTGCCTTTTTTTCTAGAAAAAGAGGAGCCGGTTCTCACCATGAAGTTGCTACAGTAAGTGCCACACTTTTTAACAACAACAAAAAGAGGTGCCGGTACTGTATACCCTTGAGTACCCCCTGGAAAAAAGCCCTGATTGTAGCTTATGGAGGGGAATGGGATCTGGCATTCCCCTTCTGCTCTGGCTGGTGTGAGTGATGGGTTTGCAGACATATCTGTGGTTGCTCCACTTCTTTAAGCCCCACTACTGGAAATAGGAAACTGCCTCATACCAAGTTAGACTCCGTCTAGCTCAGTGTTGTCAGCACTGATTAGGAATGGATCTCCCAGTTTTCAGGAAGGGGAGATTCCTAACCCTACCTAGAGATGTTGAGGATTGAACCCAAGTCCTCTTGCATGCACAATGCATGCTCTACCATTGAGTACACCTAAACGTAAAGTAAGTTTATAGTCCTTATGGCTCTGAAGAAAAGCTTGAAATATGAACATAGGAAGCTATTATATACCAAAGCAGACCACTGTTCCATCGGGCTCATCATTGTCAACAGCAGCTGCTCTTCAGGGTTTCAGATAGGGAAAATTACCTGCCCTACCTGGAGGTGCCAGGAATCAAACCTGGGAACATCTGCATGCGGTGCTGATACTCTACCACTGAGCCACAGCCTCACAGGACGATTTCTTAGGAACATAGGGAGGCACCTATATATCAGACTTGACCATTGGTCCATCCAGTTCAGTGTTGTCTACCCTGATTGGCTGTGGCTATTCAGGGTTTCAGGAAAGAGGTTTTTTTCCTCCATCCCCAATCCTACCTAGAGATGCTGCAAATTAAACCTGGGAGCTTCTGCAAGCAACGTGGATGCTCTGCCGCTGAGCTATGGTCCTTCCACCAGCAGGGATTAGATTCCCCCCCCCCCACCCTAGATAGTGAAGCTGAAGCCTGGGGCTTGGCCAGCGTGTCACTAGAATCCAGGGGTTTAGCCAGCAATTTAAAAATGGAACCTCCTCATGTATTCCCCCCCCTTTCTTTCTTTCCGAGACCCCGCAGTGCTATTTTTCCAGTCAGAATCAGAAATGGGCACTTATCTATTGAAATAAAGTCCTTTGAGGAGTTGTTAAGTTTCTAAAGCAGAGTGAAGCATATCATTTTTCATTATCAGCACCAAGTAGTTTTCCTTTCTTTTTTACCCCAGTCTTTAAATAGCCTGCAGGCATGATTTCCATACGTTTAAAATGATCCTTAAATACGAAATCATTTTTACATGCTTACCATCTTGTCTTAGACCAAGAACATGCTATTTTTAAACAGAAATGAAAACTATTATTTTCTCCCTAAGCATCAAAGTAGACTGATTGCCAAGGAAAGAACATTAAAATGGCCTGTCCACCCCACCCCCAAAACAACTATGAATCATCCATGCAGGTTCCCATCTTTTTATGTCAGGGCTTAAGCAACACCTAAACTTCTAACAAACTTCTATTGTAATTTAGTGATGCTAGAAATATTTTCCTCTTTGTAGGAAAACCCAATTGATAAGAGCCAAATGGTGATGTATTTTCCTTTCTGTTTTTAATGTCGTGGAAGGCTTTGAGAAGGAGAAAAGCATTCTAGCATTATACTGAAATTTTCTACATTTTTCATTGGAGCTTTGTCAAGTAATGAAAAAGGAAGTTGCATGGGGAAATTATCAAGAGAGAGAGAGAAAATGTTGGTGGAATTCTCATGGGTGGAGCTGTGTGTGTGTGTGTGCTTGTGCTCACCTTACTTTCAAAGTGTCTGAGGATTTTTGTGAGTGCCCTTTCATTTATTCTACAAATCTCTGGTGGTCTGCAAAAGCCAGGTCTCCTGGGTGCTCACACTTGAAAGCCCCATGACACCCTCTGTTGAGCTTTCCTGTAAGTCCTCTGAGGATGTTTGTGTTCACCTAACTTTCAAAGTATACAGGCATTTTTGTACATGTCCTTTCTTTCATTCTACAAATAATCTCTCTGGAAATCTGCATGCTGCAGCCTTCCTGGATGAACCTCTTTACCTAACCCTTGGCTGCTGAGAAGTGTGTTTTCAGGGCCCACCCTGCTCCTGTCTTCCACTTTAATTGTTTTCAATTCTGAATTCTAAATTGTTGTAGATAGTGAAAGGTATAATAATAATAATAATAATAATAATAATAATAATAATATAGGTTGCATTGAAATGGACTGGTGTTAGCAGATGCTAGGTACTCAGGTACTTTACAAGGATTGGAAGTGACGCTGGCAGCCACTTCTGGAATTGTAAATCAAAGCTTTGTCAATGTGCTGTTTCCTTTTGTCAATAATTTGGCAGGTAATCGCATTAGGCCAGCTCTAATCAGTGGAATGTTCACTCCCTGATCATAATTATAGGGGACAGCAACAATGTGTACTTTGGTAGACGAAAACAGAAGTGGACTTCCTAGAAATGTATTTTTTGAAAAATCATCCATATTTATTTTTTTAAAAAGATGTGCTAATGTAACCATTTGCCTGTTCTATGAGTTTTGTCCTTAATTAGTCCAAGACGAAAGGGCACTGCTTATTAAAGATGCTTTTATCACTCCACTCACAGTAACCAACAATTAACAAAGGGAGCTTAAGCAGAATATGATTGGCCCGTTGAAACGACCCTTGTTGTTTCTTTGGAAACGCAGCCACAAGGGCCTGTCATTTCCCTAATGTGCATATTAATTAGAGTTATGTGGAATGCTCAGCCATTTAGATTTTTGGGACAATAAAGACCTTCCAGGAGGGGGGGGGGTTCCATGTTTTTCTGTGTATAAGACGATTTTTTTTTCCTTATTAAAAATGTTTAAAATTGTGGGTCGTCTTATACATGGATAGTGCTGAGGGAGGATGGGAGATTGGTGGCAGCCATGAGCAGGAGATTGCCAGCGGCGATTGGGCGGGTGATTGGTAGCTGCGGCAAGGTCTGCTGATGATTGGCTGCTGCTGTGGCAATTGGGCGGGTGATTGTTGGCCGCTGGTGACGAGCATGCAGACGATTGGTGGCTTTGGCAAAGTGTGTGATTGGCAGCAGCAGTCAGGTGGGTGAGTGATTGTTGGCAACCCGCCCCCCAAAGTTCAACAACTCTGGGCAATCTCCCCCCATTTCCTTAATGTGGGGTCCCCAAAAATAGGAGTCGTATTATACATGGGGGCGTGTTATACACGAAAAAATATGGTATTTCTTAAAGCCTCCCTTAAAGAACACAACTTTGATGCTGATCGCTGCCAAGGGAATAGAGAAAAGTTTTCTCTCTCTCTCAGAACACTGGAACTCATAGGCATCCAAATAAGTTGAAAATTGGATGACTCAGAAGAGACAGAAGAAAGAGACAGCACATAGTTAAACTATGGAGCTCACTCCCACAGGAGGCAGTGATGGTTACTAACTTGGAGGGCCTTAAAATTCATGGGGAAATTCATGTAAGTTAAGGCTCTATCAGTGGCTACTAGTCATGATGGCTATGCGTTTCCTCCACAGTCAGAGGCACTGTCGGATGGACAGAGAGATGCTGCACTTATGTCAAGCTTGAGGACTTCCTGCAAGCATCTGGTTGGCCTCAGTGAGAATAGGATGCTAGACTACCATAAAATTATGAAATGAAATCATCCCTGACCATTGGCCCTCCTGATTGTGGCCAATTGGTGTTACTGTCCAAAACATCGTAAGAGAAGGAAGCGCCAAGGTGCCTTAAAATAATTCCAGCTGAACTACTGAATTCCTCTTGGAGGCTATATCCATCCCCACCTAGTATGTGCTCAGGAGAGAAATCTCCGTTCACAATTCAACAGAAGTTCTTCATTTTTCAACGTTAGCATTTATTACCATTTGCGATTGAGAGAAATGAAATATAATATTATAGGGGAGTTTGAACTCTTCACATAATTACATGGTTTCCACCAACACTGGAAGCTATCAAGCTGCTTAGTTTGAGAAGGCAGATGAAAACATCCTACCCGGTGGTGCCAATGTTCTCTTCACTACTTTAATATATATCATTCATTAACGAAATTATTGATTGGCTAATGTTTATCAAGCTCTTTTGAAGAGGCAAGACACGCTGAAAAACTTAAACATTCCTATCTATGCCAGCCGTCATTTACTAAAAGAGTTAATGTATTCATTCTGATGCAGAGGGTGCTACCATAAGGCTGGGCATATGCTTTCTGTTTCCTAGTGATTTATGCATGATGGCTGTCTCTTGTAGGAAGAAACAGTAGTCAACTATACACTGCACATTGATTTAGCTACCTTTCTATATCTGCGCACACACATTTTATGGATATCCCTTTCCCCTAAATAATATAAAGAACAGGCTGTGGTCAGAAGTGTAGTGGTCCCGGGTCACAGGGGATTGAAGACCTATTACTATTTGTGCAACACTCACCCAGTCAGTATGAACAGGGAGCTTTTTGGTCTTTTCACCCTTTGTGCTGATTGGAAATAATCAGAGTGAAAGGAGGTGAGTCAAGCACTGAGGATTGGCTCCTAGGGTCACGCTGGAGAAGGTATTGAAAGAACATTGAGGAGTTGTTCTGTATGCTTCAAAGCTAGCATTTAGGAATGCGGAAAATGCAAGGCACTTCTGTTTCAAGAGAATGGTGTGCAAGTTGTGTTACATACAATGGAACTTCAAGGAAAACACAACTTAAGTCATTCAGAAAGAAGATACTGGAGCACTCCAAATCATTTGCCCATGTACATCCACAGAAAATAGTGGAGTAGATCTAGCTGAAAGGCAACATATGGCGCTCCGCATTGATTGTTTCAATACATTACTGTATAATTATAATTAATATTAATTCATCATTTTAGAAGTTTGTAGAATCTTAGAAGGGTGTGTGGCTATGAGGGGTGTTGTTGTGAGGGGAATGGTTGTGAGTATCTTGAAAGGACCCTGCACTTCTTAATTCTCTGCTACATTAGTGGCTGTAGTTAATAGAAAAGCCCTGCTGGATCAGATCAGTGACTCATTTGGTCTAGCATCCTGTTCTCACAGAGGCCAGTCAGATTTCTATGGGAAGTCTGCAAGCAGAGCATGAGTGCAAAAGAACTCTCCCTGCTTATGATTCCCAGGATAGAGAACATTGGATACAGCGCCACATCTTCTGAACCCTAAGGTAATCCGTAGCCATCCATTTAAGTGTGTGTGAAACTTAGTGTTTGTGATAAATGCTATGCAAATAAATGTATAGTGCTGTTTCCAGCTGTTTGCATTTATGTAAAACACAATCAGACTGATATAAATTGTTGGGAGGGAAAAGTGATCTTAAAACAGAATGTCTGAAACAAATTGCAAAAGCAGTACATGTGAAAAGGATCTAGGAGTCTTGGTTTGAGAGCAGTACAAATTGAGAGCAGTACATGTGAAAAGGATCTAGGAGTCTTGGTTGACCACAAACTTGACATGAGCCAACAGTGTGACGCGGCAGCTAAAAAAGCCAATGCAATTCTGGGCTGCATCAATAGGAGTATAGCATCTAGATCAAGGGAAGTAATAGTGCCACTGTATTCTGCTCTGGTCAGACCTCACCTGGAGTACTGTGTCCAGTTCTGGGCACCACAGTTCAAGAAGGACACTGACAAACTGGAACGTGTCCAGAGGAGGGCAACCAAAATGGTCAAAGGCCTGGAAACGATGCCTT